GACGTTAGACATTAAAGTTTTGTAATAGGTCGCGGCACCACTTTCTTTTTAGTCTGCGGTTTGGAATTGCTTTGGAATATGAAATTAAAACTCTAGGTTGTCATTCAAAAAAGTAAAAAACTTAAAAAAATATAAGGATAAAAAATATAATTTTTTAATAAAAACGTTGTTTTTTAACAACATGAAAMTTTGTAAAAAAATATTTTCAAAAACATTGATACTTTTTGAAATAATGAGTGRTTCATGATAAAAAAATCACCCTGTATTTGCTGTCTCCGTCTTATAAGTGTGTAACATAGCAAATTTACGCTTAGCAAATCACATTTAATTCTGTTAGCTTAAAAAGTAGAGTAAATTGATTTATTATGAAACTTGATGGTAAGAACATCATCTGTGGTTTTTTTAACGATAACTTGGTTTGAGTTATGGGAATTTTTATATACCCATATCTTCCTACAAAATTGAACTATCATAAAAATACTTGTTCTTAACTATATTATTCACAAGTTCAGATGATAATTAGTTTTAAGTAGTATCTAATAAACCATTTAATATGTTTGTACTGATATCATCTAACTTAAGTATGTTAGGTACATTGCACAAATAATGATTATTTTATGGTGGAATATGATATTTTAACAAAAATACTTATTTTTTTTGCATTAAGTTGTATTGCTATAAATCATTTTTTGTAGAACAATAATTGTCCCATATAAATAATTAGCTATTTTTAATTGGTAAATAAATGATTTCCAAAAAATAAGACATGGGATTCTCAACTAAAAAATAAGTAATTAATTTGTTGGTATGGTTAGGTTAGGTTAGGTGGACACAAACAAGTTAATAATTACACAAAAATCTACTAATTTGTCTTTAATTAACTATGACATTATTTGAGTAATTTAAAAATATATCTATACCTACTTAAGTAATAAATATGTGTGTAATGTGTAATATGTATGATMTTAATTTTAATTTTATAATTGTTTTTATTGCAAAATAATTAAGGCATTATCATCAATTTTAGAATTTTAGTAAATTATAGAATCAATGTTATTGTAATGTGGTATTGTTGTTGTGTTATAATTTACAGATTGATATAAATAATTTTTCTGATATGCTTTTCACCAAAGTTAACTGGTAAAATGTATTTTTTATAGATCCCCCTTTTTATGCATTTCGTTTGTCAAATATTTTTGAGCATAAACTATGCGATCCAGTTTTAAAAATGTTTTTAGAAAAGTACACAAAGTTAAGTGCTTCTAAATAAAATCACATTAAGATAAAATTACATGCCAGATATTTCTTAAAATGTATTAGGTAGATAGATCAAACCAGTGGCGTGGCGAATTTTATTAAGTTATGAGGCACAGTTATATTTTCAGACCCATCACCCACCCCACCCATCACAAAAAAACATTTAACATTTTTTTTTTAAGATAAAATATATTTATTCATTTAAATAATAATACTTTTTTTAACACATCAGATGATCTTTGAGAACACCCACCACCCCTCAAACTGAGGCACATGCCTCAAACATAGTCCTTCGTCACGCCACTGGATCAAACAATTATTGAAATCATATTATATTTATATATATA